GAGGGAAAAGGGGAGATGAAAAAAAACATAAAAAACCAGGATTTACCAAGAAAGGCAGTTTTGTATTTACACAGAGAAAAGGAAAAGAACTAATAACACTACGAACACACAGGCAAAGGAAACTAACAGTAAAATTCTACTTCCGATGAGAAGCGACATCTCAGACAGGCATAACTGTCTACAGGGCAGCCATCCCGGAAGAAGAGAGAGACCCCTCGCTTCCTTCTCGTCTCTTTTATATCTGAGCTGACGTAACATGGTATGGAATACCTTATTGGCACAATATGAATCAGGTGATCTATCTAGTTCCTTTTCCCTCCCAGGGAGGGTAACAAACCCATTACAGAAGGGTAAAAGTAAGAAAACTTGTTGATTGAGATAAAGACAGTTTAATAGGGAAAGCAAAACCCATGAACACAAACAAAGCAAAACAAGGAATTCATTCACTGCTTCCTTTGGGCAGGCAGGTGTTCAACCATCTGCAGGAGAGCAGGGCTCCATCACACATAACGGTTACTTGGGAAGGCAAACGCTATCACTCCAAATGTCCCCCCTTCCTCCTTCTTCTCCCAGCTTTATATACTGAGCATGATGTCATATGGTATGGAATATCCCTTTGGTCAGTTGGGGGCAGCTGTCCCAGCTGTGTCTCTTCCCAGCCTCCCATGCACCCTAAGCCCTTGCCAATGTGGCAGCACAAAAAGCAGAAAAGGCCTTGGCTCTGTGTAAGCTCTGCTGAGCAATAACAAAAACATCTCTATGTTATCAATCCTATGTTCAGCACAAATCCAAAACATAGCCCCATACTGGCCACTGTGAAGAAAATTACCTCTACCCCAACTGAAACCACAAAACCAGTACGGGTACCCAAACCCCTGAGCTGGAAGACAAGGGCGAGGAGCAGAATGAAACCCCCATAATCCAAGGAGAAATGATCAACAACCTGCTACACCACTTCAACACACAGAAGTCTATGGGACCAGATGGAATCCACCCAAGGGAACTGGCAGATGTGGTCACCGAGCAATTCCAATCATGTATAAGCAGTCCTGGATAGCCAGGGAGGTCCCAGTTGACTGGAAGTTAGCAACTGTGACACCCATCTGCAATAAGGACTGGAAGGAGGATCAGTGGAATTACAGGCCTGTCAACCTGACCTTGGTGCTGGGTAAGGTTATGGAACAGATCATCTTGAGTTCCATCACATAGCACATGCAGGACAACCAGGGGATCAGGTCCAGACAGCAGTCTTATGAAAGACAGGTCCTGCTTGACCTGCCTGATCTCATTTTATGAAGGGGTGAACTATTTACTAGATAGGGGAAAGGCTGGGGATGTTGCCTATTTCGACTTTAGTAAAGCCTTTGGCACTGTTTCCCAAAGCATTGTTCTGGAGAAACTGGCTGCTCGTGGCTTGGATGGGTGCATTGTTCACTGAGTAAAAAAGCTGGCTGGATGTCTGAGCCCAAAGAGCTGTGATGAATGGAATTAAATACTGTTGATAGCTGGTCACAAGTGATGTTCCCCAGGGCTCAGTATGGGGGCCAATTCTGTTTAATATATTTATCAATGATTTGGATGAAGGAATCAAGTATACCCTCTGCAACTTTACACACGATATCAAGTTAGGCAGGAGTGTTGATCTGCTGGAGGGTAGGAAGCCTCTACAGAGGGATTTGGACAGGTTGGATTGATGGGCCAAGGCCAATTATATGAAGTTCAACAAGGCCAAGCACTGGGTCCTGCATTTGGGTCACAACAACCCCAAGCAATGCTACAGGCTTGAGGAGTGGCTGGAAAGCTGCCTGGTGAAAAAGGACCCGGGGGTGCTGTTTGACAGCTGGCTCAATATCACCCAGCAGTGTGCCCAGGTGGCCAAGAAGGCCAACAGCATACTGGCCTGTATCAGAAATAGTGTGATCAGCAGGACCAGGGAAGTGATCGTCTCCCTGTACTTGGCACTGGTGAGGTCGCACCTTGAATACTGTGTTCAGTTTTAGGCTTTTCAATACAAAAAAGGCATTGAGGTGCTGGAGCATGTCCAGAGAAGGGTAATGAAGCTGGTGAAGGGTCTAGAGCACAAGTCCTTTGAGGAGAGGCTGAAGAAACTGGGGTTGTTTAGTCTGGAGAAAAGGAGGGTTGGGGGACCTCATTGCTCTCTACAACTTCCTGAAAGGAGACTGTAGACAAATGGGTGTCGGCCTCTTGTCCCAGGCAACTAGCGAAAGGAGAAGAAGAAATGGCCTCAAGTTGTACCAGAGAAATTTCAGGTTGGATATTTGGAAAAATTTCTTCACTGAAAGGGTGGTCAGGCATTGGAACAGGCTACCCAGGGAAGTGGTTGGGTCACCACTCCTGGAGGTATTTTAAAGATGTGTAGATGTGGCAATTGGGGACATGGTTTAGTGGTGGACTTGACAGTGCTGGGTTGACAGTTGGACTCCATGATCTTAAAGGTCTTTTCCAACCTAAATGAATCTATGATTCTGTGTTGTGTCCTCAGCAATAAAAGCTGAGAGAAAGGAGGATGGGAAGGGGCATTCCTTATTACGTTTGTCTTTGAGAGCAACCGCTACACATACTGAAGCCCTGGTTCCTGGGAAGGGACTGGACATCGTCTGCTGATGGGAAATAAAGAATAAATCTTTTGTTTTCCTTTGCCTCTGTGCAAGGTCTGTTCTTTTGCTTTATTAAACTCCCTTTCTTGACCCACAAGTTTTTTCTATCTTATTTTCTCCCTTTGTGTCTTGCTGAGGAGGGGGAGTGATAGAGCAGTTTGGTGGGCACCTGGTGTCCAGCCAAGGTCAACCCACCACAGCTGCACAGATCCAGAGGTAACAGATTTCATCCTGAGATCTAGAAGAAAGAAGGTAATCCATTCTTCTCTCCTGTTCTGATATCACATATACATAGACCACTCTTGAAAGATGCTTTCCAGACTACTGTGTAAAGTGTCTCATGAAAGAGATAATCTCCAGATTGTGTTCAGCTGTTCATGCATTCCAAATTTTTAATATTATCTACTCAAAATCTTCTCAAATGCAAACTTAGCCTTTTACTTCTTGCCCATGTTGTGATTTAATCTCAGGCAACAGCAAAGCACCATACAGCCATTTGCTCACTCCCCCACTGTGGGTTCTTATACCCTTTGAGGGTTCATGATTTGACTAATCACCAACACCCACACTACCAATTACTAATCACAGTAAAACTTTGCAAAACAACTATTTTATGCAGCATTCTTGCTGCTTTTCAGTTGATCCAAAAGTCCCTGGAGTCAGTTTTGCTGTAGTTACTTATCTGTGATGCCAGACGACACTGGGAGGGTTTCAGAGACGTTGGAGGGGCTAGGATGATGGCATTATCCTGGTTGTACACGGGTATCCTTTATTCTTCATGGACAGCTCTAAGCTTCCAAGAAGCAAAGGCCTTATTTCCAGGGCCAGGCTGGCCTTTAGTTTGTTTTACTAAATCATGAACAATACACAAGTCTCCAGTAAAATTCCACTACCTCATTACATTACAGTGTATAATGTGAACTTATATATATATATAAAGTTGATACACTTTCATACTATAAAGACTGATTGATACAGTAGTTACAGAAGGGGATTTTTAGAACAGTCCCTCCTTTTGACTGTCAGGATTGTTGCTTTAGATTGGGAGCCAAAAAATTACTCACTAGGCAATCATTAGTAGAGATAAGGTAGAGAGCAGTTTTAATAGGCAGTCTTCAACCACAGGGGTACATAGACGTGCACAGGGAGTTCCACAATTTAAGGTATTACCCATCCAATCCCAGATCTATTCACCCCTCAGTTCTGTCCAGTTCTGGAAATTGAGTCGGGGGCTCTTGGACCCCCTCTTCCTCATCTTCCTCTTCATCACAACATGTCCAGTCCTCGGAGCTCCTCCAAAGTTCTGGGTTTTGAAGGATGCTTTGACTATTGGTGTATCTTGTTGTTCAAGCCAGGGTGCAAATGTTCTTAAACAGAAAGAAGGCCTACTTTGAGGGAAGTCTAAACAAACTAAAGGAATTTAGAAAGTTAGATATTAAATGGGGTAATAGGGTTGGGTAAATGTGTAAACTACTGTGCTAAAGTGTGAGCTAACTACAGCTACTTCTAAAATCTACAAAAAGCTAAAAATCAAAAAAATCCATAGGCATCAGTATCACAGTAGATTGATTATTCATCATTTTAGTAGTAAGTCAAGTGCATAAGATGATACCACTCTGCAAACACACATATATAGAACCATAGAATAGTTTTGGTTCATTATTAAGAATTACAAAGCAAATTAAGATAGAGAATACAACAACTAAAATCCTTTTATTTCACAGTCTTATACTTAAGTCTGGGAGCTAAGAGGTTAACTACTCAAACAGACTTAAGAAACATTCCTGTCTTACTTTAGGCAATACTTTCAAATTACTCTTTATCTTGTTTATATCAGTTTCAATTTTCTGGTCTTGCTTTACATTAAAACACCAGGTATTACTCAATAATGCACATATCCAGTTCTGTGCTGCTAATAGATAGTCTAAAGCTAATCAATTCTGTGTTATCATTTATGATAATAATTTGATTTCTTCCTGTAGGGCTACAATACTATCTTCTGTTTCATGTAATGGCATTTTCTAATGCTGTTAACACATCTACAGTAGGTCTTTCCTGTTCAGCAACCCCTTACTATGGGATAAAAGCTTTGCTATGGTAGTCAGGTATTGCTTAGGTAAAACAGGAAGGTTTTCTGTACCTGCTTTTCATATTCCCTGAGAGTCTTTGGTCACTTCATATCTTTTCCAAGAGTCAATTTCTTCAGCAGGAACAGTCAAACATATCTATTCATAAGTGAGCAACACCAGGTCAGATTGTTGGACTACTTGTAAGCCTGGTGGTTGTGAGATCCTGGATCCAAATCTCACTGAATTATTGATCACTGTGTGTGTATGTGTATGTGTGCATGTGGGGAAGGGCTGGGCCTAGACCTGCAGGTACATGGTAAGGCCTGCACATAAGGCCTGTGCTGAGGGCACATGGCAGAGCCAGAAGGCAAGGCCTGCTGCCCATGCAGAGCACATGGCAGAGCTGAAGGCCCTGCAGACATCTGTCAGTCAAGGCAGATCTGCCTGGTAGCCCACCCACACTATGCCCCTGCAGTCTGTGACTGGCTACAACACAACTCACTCTGACCTGAAAGGCGCTGACCAGACATCCTGCCTGGGAGGGAAAACTGAACTCTATACATGAGACTCCATGCGGTCTCCCTCTTCTCTCTCTTCCCTCTCCAGTTGGCACCATGTGAATCATCGAATCTTGTTGGTAACTATTCTCCTCTCCTTTCTCTCTCTCCTTCTCTCTTTCTTCTCTCTTTCTTTACCCCTTTTAATCTGTTTTCTTCTGTTACTCTTTTCCTTCTCTTGTGGGTAACTTAAAACTATGAGAAATAAAAATACGATTTTTATTACAAACAAATTTTAGAAAATTATAGGTGTATTGCGAAGTTGTAAGGTATCCAGTTCCCACCTGGGCCTGGTGCCAGGGTCCCTTTGCGGCCATGATAAGGGAAATAAAAAGCTCAAAAAAAAACCCAAAAAAACCCTTTTGGACCATTTGGCCAATTTCGAACACAGGGTTTGTTTTTTTTTCTCCATGGGCTAAGAACAAAGGAAGATCCATCATTTTGACAGGGGATGCCTCGCAGCCAAGCGGAAGGAGGAGAAAGTCCCTTTTCAGAGAAAAGAAACCTTTTTAGGCAAAATGAATATATTAAACTGACCTGAAAGGGTGGGATTTTGTAGAACTATAAAATGCATGAAATTTAAACCCGAGGGGTCTTTTCTCCCCGGGAGCTCGGTGTGAGATAAGACACAGCATGCGCTGAATAAATCCTTCCTTGTTGCTACAGTTCCTTTGTTTCACAGGTTTTTACCATTTTTCTAAATTTGAAGGAGGAATTTTTTTCCCACAAAAACCAATGAACTGTGTTTTACTAAAGCTGGTATATGGATTGTTTTAGTGGGTGTTTCCTGTGGAATGGGTCTTTGTGCTGAATATTTTAGTGAAATACTTTTTTCTTGGTTGTATTTTACTACTGTAAAAACCTTTTGCCAAAATATCTTATTTTTTTCACTAAATTAAAAAGAATTTCTCTTAGAGAAGAGTGTGTGACTCTTTCTCTGGATGCTAATTAGAGGTTATAATGAACCAAAAGGCTTTTAAAAAGTCTTAAATAAAAATGTAACCACTCTGGGCAGTTTATAGCTTAATCCAGAGCACAATAGTGGTTTGAAAGGCTGTCATCCTGCAGCTTTAGCTGCAACATCCACTGGATCATTTCCTATTTCTTTTGTCCTTTCACCAGTATCAGCCAGCTCATGAATGATAGCTAGTTTCTTTGGCAATTGTACCATAGAATGATAGAATGGTTTGGGTTGGAAGAGACCTTAAAGATCATCCATCTGGTTCCAACTCCCCTGTCATGGGCAGGGACACCTTCCACTAGATCAGGTTGCTCAGGGTCCCATCCAACCTTGTTATTGTTGCGGCGGTCAAAAGTAAAGAAAAAAACACAAACAGTCCAGTACCGAGCAAAGTACCAGTCTCTTTATTCTTTCCCACAAGTCTTTTTATATCCCATGTTAGCAAGCATCAGAAGGCAGGCAGGTGATTCTATTTTTTAATTAGCCATTATTTGTTAGTAATACTGTTGGCAAAGCTCAAGGCCAAAGCTGGAGTTCTCACAGGACCAAACCTAAGCACTCCACAGCTGTCTTCTTTCAACCAGGGCTGCATACATACCTCTCCTATCTCAAGGATACACCTGTAACTTTCCCAGGTCAAAATCTTCTTCCAAAGAGCTAACAGACCCGCTGTCAGCCGTGACACAACCTGGCCTTGAACACTTCCAGGGATGGGGCATCCACAACCTCTCTGGGCAACCTCTTCCAGTGTCTCACTGCCCTCATGGTAAAGAATTTCTTCCAAATATCTAAGCTTATATATCTAAGTATATCTTTTAACAATTCAGTACTTACTCCCACAAGAAGTTATAAACCCATGCTGCAACCATAACTGTCCGGTGGCATGGAATAATCCAAATGCACACTGAGAATCAGTATAAATATTTACAGTCTTTTCTTTAGATGGCTGGGAAGCCTTTGTTTATGCAACTAATTTTGCTGCTTGTGCACTCAGCTTCAAACTGCGTGGTGAAGCTGCCACTACTTTATTCACAGCAGTTGTTGAATAACCTGTAACCTGGTTACTGTTCAGATAGTATGAAAACCTGTCTACACATAGTTCAGGATCAGGATCTGGAAATGGCATGTGTTAAACATGTTTTATTTTTTTCATCTTCACAGCTTGTTACTACACATTAGTGTTGTGGAGTTTGTTCCTCAGGTAAAGGGAGTAGAGTAACAGGGTTCAGCATATTACATTGCTTAATTGTTTTCCACTGTTGTAGAGAATCAGCTCATAGTGATGTATTTGCTGTGATAACATTGCCTGGGTAATGTGCTGGGTGTCTAAGCACCATGTTTTCACTCTGTTCAACTAAGAGTGCTCCAGCAGTTGTCATATGGACGCAAGCAATGGATCCCTGAGTTGCTGGACCTTCATGTACAAAGTAAATGGCTTATCATAGCCAGACAATCTGAAGTGCTGAGGCCTGAACAACAGGCCCTGAGCCAAAGTTGACCTCTAGATGAACCTTCCAACCTAATGTTATATTTAGCCATGTATCTGCTAATTAGCCAAAATTATGTATAATCATTAGTAAAATACGTAGTATGATAAGACTACATCTGTGTAAACATGTAGGTTTGTTAAGTAAGATATATTTGTATCCGCTTATTAGTAAACATTTGTATCTGTTCATTAATTAAATATGAATGTATCTATCTTTCTGTATTTAGAGTCTGGTCAAACCCATGGAAGTCTAGCCTTGTTTGGTGGTAAATAGTCAAAACTGACTCCTTTGATTTTCCTCTGAGCCTTGGCCAGGCTTTGGGTGAGACCCAAGGAGAGAAAGAAGCCAGATGTTTTTCCGCACCAGTAGTTATGTAAGCTTGTTTATTTAACAATATAAAAGCTAGACCCTTTCACAGCAAAGATGGAGACCTCACGTACTAGTGGACACACTGCGTAGGATTTCCCAGTTAATCAAGAGTAGTTCTCCAACCCTTTGCTGTGACCAGGGCTCCCCAGCTGATGCAGGTCTGGATGATGATGGTAATGTATCAGAGTAACTGGTGATGTATCTTAATCACTATAAACACTCTTTTTAGTAATAATAAAGTACATTGCTGAGCTTATCCTTTTGTAATTCTTTGCTCCTTTTGTAATTTTTTGCTGGTTTGCACTGTAGTAAAATTACACACTTGTTCTTTAAAAGTTAATGTCCGCGTTTCTTGTGTTAACCCTCATCCCCTGGCAAAATGCAATCCCAGAGCAGGTGCAGTCATAAATGCTTGCTCCAAAATCTCAAATGCCTTTACCTTGTCTGTTGTCCCATGAAAGGGTTTTTCATCATAAGCAGTAATTTCTATCAGTGTTTTTGCCATTTCCTTGAGAACAGCTATCCAGGGTTGGCAGAATCCTACAGCTCTTAAAAGTACTTGCATTTGCTCTAATTAGTTGGTTGATGAAGATGGCTATAATGGCTATAATACAGTCCTCAGATTAACACCACTCCCCTTGTTGGAGAATGTAACCCAGATATTTTACACTTCCCTTAAAAAAAATATAACTTATGTGGAGAAGACTGATGGTCCTTCTCAGCTAAGGAAAATATTAAGATATGGTTGGGGGGAATGGAAGAGGGTTGATCATCATCCTCTTTACAACTTATAAAATCACCACTTCCCTAGGCAGCCTGTTTCAATGCTTGACCACCATTTCCTAATTTTTCCTAATATCCAATTGAAACCTCCCCTGGTGCAATTTGAGACCATCTCTTCTTGTCCTATCATTTGTTACTCGAGAGAAGAGACCAACATCCACCTGTCTACAACCTACTTTCAGGTAGTTGTAGAGAGCAATGGGGTCCCCCCGACCCTCCTTTTCTCCAGACTAAACAACCCCAGTTCCCTCAGCCACTCCTCAAAGGACTTGTGCTCCAGAACTTTCACCAGCTTTGTTGCCTTTCTTTGGACATACTCCAGCACCTCAATGTCTTTCTTGTATTGAGGGGCCCAAAAGTGAACACAGTATTCGAGGTGTGGCCTAACCAGTGGCCAGTACAGGGGGACTTCCCTAGTTCTGCTGGCCACACTATTTCTGATACAAACCAGGATCCCATTGGCTTTCTTGGCCACCTGGGCACACTGCTGGCTGGTGTTCAGCTTCTGTCAACCAGTACCCCCAGGTCCTTTTTCACCAGGTAGTTTTCCAGCCACTCTTCCCCCAACCTGTAGTGCTGCATGGGGCTGTTGTGACCTAAGTGCAGGACCCAGCACTTGACCTTGTTGAACTTCATATAATTGGCCTCAGCCCATTGATCCAGCCTGTTCAGATCCCTCTGTAGAGCCTTCCTACCCTCCAGCAGATCAACACTCCTGCCCAACTTAGTATCATCTGGAAACTTGCAGAGAGTACACTTGATCCCTTCCTCCAGATCATCATTAAACATATTAAATAGACCTGGTCCCAACACTGAGCCCTTGGGGACACCACTGGTGACTGGCTACCAACTGGATGTAACTCCATTCACCACCAATCTCTTGTCGTGGCCATCCAGTCAGTTTTTAACCCAGCAAAGAGCACACAAGTCCTGTAAAGAAGGACAAGGATGGGTCCTACTCCCCACCTTTATGGACCAGTATTTCAGCTATTAATACTAAGTGTTCTTTTGCTCAAGAATGAGGATATAGAGGGTACACACCACGGGGGACCCTGTGGTTTTACCAGCAGGACAACAGAGGACATGAGGAATTAGGATGGAAAATCTACCTCAATCCTAGAGGCACAGGTATGTGAATTGCAAGGAAAAACAATCACAAATGGGGG